GCAAGTCGACGCACCAACAGAGCAAGCCATGCCGAAAGTGACGAGGGGGAGAGGAACGTCAGCGAGTAGGCGAGCAGCGCGTAGGAGCCTTCACGCTGCATCTGGGAAAGACAAGCGCATTAGGGATAGACCCTGGAGAAGACGCACGCTTGATCACCGCTTCGGTCGGGGAGCCATGGGAGGACTGGGAAGCTGTCCTGCCATTCCGCACGCCTGGTGGCCCTTAGCGCATCTGGTACACGATCCTCTCGCTTTGCCCGGACCGCTGTGGCTGGTGGCGCTAGCATGCGGCTGTGCAGACAGTATGACGTCTCATTGGACGTGGGGCAGTGCTAATCTTAGACCATTGCCCTCAATCGGGTCGTTAAGCGAGTCCTCGTGGGGCTCGTCGCTGCACTGCCTCTCCAACAGGCCCTGTATCGCGCTGACCTCACCGTGTTTCTCATCGTCACATCGTCACATCGTCACTGCGGGACTGACTCCAGCATGCCCACCCACTCTTCGTAACTAACCAGCCTTTGAAGTCGTGGTGCGTCATGGCACATTGTGACCGCCTACATGAGCACATCGCAAGGCTACTGTGGCATGGCGTGACATGATCCTCTGAATAATCTTGGTTGCGTTTCGAAGTGGTGGGCGCGGGCGTTGTCTGGTCGCGAGCAAACACACTTGCCCTACAACCGTAACCGTTTCGTAGCCTTGGACCGGGTGTGGGGAGCCAAGTCAGAGCAATCTCGCTCTGGGACCTTGCGCTGCCACGGCACGCCATGTGCACACGCCGTGTGTCTTTGACCAGAGGCTCCCGAGGACTAGCTGTCATACACGGACCTCGTGTTCCGCACCATACTAACGCAGCGTCTGGTAATCAGCGTGACATCTTGTTCGCGTGGCCCCTGGACCCTCCTGGCCCGACGAAATGGATAAGGCTGTGGAAGGCGTCAACCGCACCCTCGCTGGTACGAGCCCTCCTATCAGCAGTGCCGCCTGGTTTTTGCCAAGTATACCGGCCGCAGTGCAACTGGCACCTGTTCATTGACTGCGTTACAACACCCTGATGCACATCGACCATGGAATGTAACACCGCTGTCTAACATCGACTTCATACTCGTCTGACGCCATCAGCAATATTCCACGCTCCAGTATATCATGTCGCCATGGGCGCATCACTAATCTTTCCACCTGGTATATACTAGAGGCCGCCCATGGTGGCTTTGAAGAGCTAGTGATAGTGTGTGCGGGGAGAACAGCCTTGGAATCCGTGCCACTTGACCAGTTGAGACTACTTTAGTCGCAGAAGCTACTCTTGTCAAGCAGTCCTCGACCCACGCTCTCAACGCGGTAGGGGAGCCGTGCATTTTGACAGGGCATGAATCCCCAAAGGAGTATGTGGCTGACGCACGTCAGTACAGCGAGCAATCGTGGTTGCAAAATGCAAGGCCAGAACCTATTTGGGTTTTGCGGCAGGATTATGATCCGAGCCTCGCGGGATGTTCGAATTCAGAGTACGCAATCGATTTAACTATGCGCCCGCTCCAGCACCACAGTTGAGCCATGCATGAGCCAGCCAGACAGCATGTTTCAGGGTTGTGATTGCGCACTGCCGCAGATCCGTACTCAGGCAGGTAAATGACATCGTCCACGCTGACTGTTGAGCTTCGGTGGTCTCGAGTCGACAAGAACGTATACGGCAGCATCCGAAGAGCTTGTTCAAAACGCAAAAAAGTATGGGAAGTCGCACCGCCACAAATTCTTGCAATGGCCAGAACTTCCAGCGCACGGCATGACCCTGCTGGTCTTGCGTGCTTGGGTATGGGCATGCGGGACACAGCGATGAGAAGGGCCGACAGGAGACAAGCTATAGCGCAAAGGGCCTGTTTCGCGAAGATCCTAGTCGACCTCTTGTTGTGTGTTGCACATTCAACTCCGAACAATTATTGACCAGGTCGTGATTGTACCCGCCTGTATGCAAGACATGTTTCATTTTCTGTTAATGGTGTTCGAAGGCACATGTCCTATTGGTGTGCGGACAGGTCTGCAGAGGCTTTGGCGACCTCCGGAATATTGACAAGCGATTCCCGTCGAAGGGTAAGCGCAGAGAGGCTTTCCACCGCTGCCACCAGCTTCCAAGCATACGATTAACCCCAAATGACACGACGGATTGAAGTGGGTTTAGAATAGTCAACACACCGTTTAGATCCGGAGCCGAGACGGCGATGGCGCGACGTTCTCTCGCGTCGTTAACTAGCCACGCGATGTAGGCTCGGGCGTTTGCTCTGTAGTCTTACTTTCTTCGCTTGCGTTAAAACCTGATTCGATCAAAGTTGAAGCGACCATTCGCCTGTAATGGGGTGCGGTGCTAGAGTCACTAAGCTGTATATCCGCTTCTGGAAGGCCACACAAACGTGCGACCACAACAGCAACAGGCCATGGGCAGACACTTGGAACGCCCAAAGCCACTGCGACGGGTGATCAGCACAGGATTACTTGCTACTGAGTACCAATAGTTCGGAACCCTAGTTAAGATATCACGATCTTAGGGTTCCATGCCATGCGAACGATGCTACAACGAATGACAAGCCTTGAATACTCAGCGGGCTGTAATCATGCTTGACTGATAGCGCTGTGCGCCATCGTACACCAAGTCGTGCGAGCTCGGGAGCCAAATTTGGGCTCGTTACGATCGTACACCTCGCATTGCGAATGCATAGTTCCGAGGAGAAGACTTCGAGTGTGGGCGGCATGGCCCGTTACAGGGCTTAAGTGCCATGTTGATTATGGACCGCCGCCGGCCGGGCTCACCGTGAGGGAGCAGCGAGGCGTGAGAGGTTATTCGTTGGCGTCGGTCTCGCCTATGCACGCGCAACCCCGCAAGCAAGCCACGGACCCAATTAGGAGGGTGAAAACACCGGCCAGATGGTTGATCATCCTTCCCGCGCACCGTGAGCCGTGCCATGCTGTGTTGGGACGCGACACACATGACGGCCCGAAAGCGAACAAGGATGCGGAGTAAACGTACGAGGAGTTCTGCTGTCGCTGCCCGCGCATGCTTTTCTCGTCACCCATGCGTGTGTCCAGACCGTGGCTTCGGCTGATAGATTACCTTCCACGAGCAGAGCCTCATGATCATCGCAACCCTGCTGCAGCATGCGCATGGCTGGATCCCAATCTCTCAGGCCTCTGAGTGTCGGGACAGATACTGGAGATGTCCACGCAGTGCGGAGAAGTGGTAACTGCCGGATTTCTCAAGATAGTCGGGAATGGAAGAGAGCTGACCGCGTATCTTCATTCCTCAATGGAAGCGCCCACAATACAGTTTGTTGTTCTTGAGTGCGCCCTATCGTTGGCTTGCGCAACGGAGCCTGCTAATCGTGTCGCTGGGCTTGACTGTGACTGCTATCCAGCGAGCACGGCTACGGTACCAGAAGGTTTTGCTTGCCTGGCGCCGCCCCGTATCTGCAGGCTGAAGCGGCTGCCTCATGGTGCACATGGGCGCCCTAGGCTGGCGAGTTTCCGCCGTCGCAGTGGGGTTGAGGGGGTTGAGAGGGCTAAGGCCGAGCAGACCCTGACCAAAAGTGATCAGACCACCTGGCATCTGAGCAAAAGCAATTCTGCGCTGCGAGGGGCACTTGTGGGACCACGAGATAGCAGAGCTAATCTCTCCTTCTTTGACACGGTACGTCGCTGGAGGACGAGCCGGCGAAGGACTTGATTGGCGCCAACCTTGGAGTCCTCCTTTAGTACGCTGACACGTTCTGGCCCCCATTCTTCGCCAACCCCAGTCCTGCAGGAGAGTATCAAACCAAGCGACATTCACTCCACATGCGCGCGCGAGCCCATAGGGTGATGAAGAGTCTTGGCTGTGAGGGTCCAGGGTGCCTGCACATGGACCGATGTTGTCCTCCTTGGTGATCCGGCATACGATATCAGAGTGTCTGCTCGCCGACCACTCTATAGACCTTCGCTCACAAGGGTACTATTTCGAGAGCGGTTGTCCTCTGAGCGTGGCTTTGGATCGACAGGATCAGCGGGATCGAAGGATGCGCTGTGCGTGTCGCCGCCCTCCCAGGGCACAGCATATCGACCAGTGCGTTATCGTTCTATGCGGAGTACGTGAAGACAGATGTAATGCAGAGGGAATATAGCAGAGATCCATGGATGTAGTTGAAGTAGAGTTGATGTGGAGCGAAGGGTCCCAACACGTCGGGTCGCCTTCAGCCCTGGTGGAGCAAGGTACGAATGAGGCAATTGCGCCTAGTGCTCGAACGCCGTTTTCATCGAGGCTACGGAGACTACTCTGCCGACATTGCTCGTATCGCATCGTAGTCGAGGTATGTTTTGTGCACGTTTCTGCTGTGGGAATTGAGGTACCTACTGACCTCAATGGATATGACGTATTCGATGGGCCCACACGGAATCTTCGCTTCCGAATAAAGTTGGCAACCACGGAGTGTCAACAACACGTCTAAACAACAAGTCGCATGATACGTTCAGAAGAATGCGCGCCGACCTTTCGTTCCAATACTTCTAAAATGTTGTCGCATTGCGACAATGATTGCGTCGCATTTGGGCTACCAGACCCTGTCGGGGAACTGTGATCTTCCCCGGCAATCACTTGACAGCGCGGCACGAGAATGATCATCCACCAAACTTCGACATTATCCGAAGTGAAGTATATTGGTTCACAGCATGGATTCAAGATATGAGCGTATTAGTAATGAAAACAAGTTGCAAATTTCTATCGTGGTAATGCATACACATATTAATTATGGATATCAACGCTGAATTACTTCGTATCAAAGCCCGGGTATCGAAAACAACAAACGCCCATTGGAAACGAAAGAGATATTGTCTGACCGTCGAAGATACCCTGGCTCGACTATTCCATCGCACCGACCTCAGTACTGGCGTTAATTGACGAATAACGAAGCGCAAGGGTTGGCTTGCACCGGTAGCCGTCAATGTGGCGAAGTGGTTCATGCTGTCGAGTGTTTTGCAAGAGGTCATCCAGACCCATCGGTCTGTTTCTTACTTCCGCTTATGATGATGTCTTTATATTTCTCGCGTAGGATGGCGCCTGCATCTTTTTCTGCCTTCTTCACGTCCCTCCCAGACCAGTCATTCTTCCAGCAGCTAATCGCTGTGTACAGCTTGAGCCAGGAATGGTAGTATCCGAACAAAGGGTAAGCCGGAATGACAAAAAACAAGAGGAAGTCCAGAGGATGCTCTCGAAACCATCGCCAGGTCTTGATGAGCTTAGTCGCCCATATAGCCAGGATCAGGCAGACAAGTCGTGCGTTGCCATTTGAGGAATTCTGATACAGTCCGGATCGCCAAAAGTTGAAGATGGCCAGACCATCCCAGAAGACCGCGAAGTTGTACATCCACGGGAAGTACACTGTCCACACTCCGATAGGCCATTTCCACCAGATGGTTCGATCCGAAAAGAGCGCGATGGGATTTTGACGGAAAGTTGTGCGACTCCAGCGCTCGCATTGATCCACATACTTGAAAATCTCCACGCTTCCCAACCTCGTCATCATAGTGGCCTCTGGCGAAGATTGGACCTTGATGTTCCATCCATGGTTGATGACCCACCGCGTAATGAAGTTGTCATCGTCCGCAAGGAGGGGCCCGATACCTTTGTTGGTTAGACCTTTTCCTTCGAAAATTTTGAGGAGGTAGCCAGCGGGTGATATGTGCCAGCTTTTGAGGTAGCTCAACCACTCGGAGACCCACGTAAGGACGTATTCCTCCACGAACTCTGCCCTGAATTTGAGATCTTTTGTTATAGCGGTCAAGATGGCGAGCGTACGACCGGAAATGGCAAATACGGCGCCATCACCAGCATTTGATGCCCTGATCTCATAGCTATGGCGATCAAGATACTGCGCACCAACGGTGTTCCAAAAGCCAGAGCGATACCAGCTTAACCAAAACCGTATGCGACTTTTTCCGTTGTGTGCGTCTTCGATGTGAGAAGGGCGTATGTATTGCACCCGCTTGCGTGTTCCAACGAGACCAACTTTTGGATCGTTAAAAGCTGGTAGAGTCGCTTCCAAGAATTTCGGATGCCATACAGCAGTGTCATCGACCATGATAGTGATATCTGTATCTACCATCCCGATAGCTGTATCAGTCTGCTTGCGCTTGTTGGATTCAACGATGTTTTTGTACTCAATCTCTGTTTCATCTTTCCAATTGAATATTGGCACCACGGCATCCCATATCTTTTCGTAGCCGCTGTCTCCTTTTGTGAAGGCTTCTTTTACGGCTTCAACCTTCCGCTCGACAAGATCTCTCGCTTGTTCATTGTTTGCAACAAAAATAAGCCGCCCAGGCTTGTTCCGAAGGATTCCTTCAACCATCAATGCGAAGACCGGGTTGTTCAGGAGGCCGACTGTGGGTACAATCACTGTACAATGTTCTGGCTTGAACTTCAAGTCATTGTACGGCACGTCGGCTGCCTTGTATTGAGTATAGAAGAATCGGGTAACGATAGCGCGCCAGTATCGAAAGACTATCAAGGCCGAGAACCAGAGGAGACCTTTGTCTCTGACCGACATGCTCTTGTTGATCGTAACATGGAGGAGTAACATCGGTACGATATGGAGGAGGTTCCATAACACATTGGGCTTTTCTCCAGGCGTGTTCTTTCGATTCGACTCTTCGTCTCTCATCGTGTAGTAGACTATCCAAAAGGACCAGACTCCTAGTATTAGGAGGTTGAATAAGCTGTAGGGACGCCACCACGATGTATTCGAACCAAAATTAGGGTTTTCTTCTAGCATCCACAGCCATGCAGCCCAGCCCGCAGATATGGCCCCGAAGATTTTGGCAAGTTTGTGCATATTCTCCGTAACACTCGGATCGGGAGACGTGGGTGGACTGGGAGAAGGCGTGTCACTCGTAGGATTCGCATCCGTAGACGTGGGCGGGCTGAATGAAGCCATATTGCTTGTATCGTGGCTGTAGTTCTGGTTGCAGTTTCTCACTTGTTGCGTTCTGCTGTTGTGTGAGAAGTAAACACCTGCAGAAGTTCGTTCATATAGTCTAACAGAGTCATTGTACCACCAGGAGTAATGAGTGAAAGTCGCGGGCCATAGCGTTTGATGAGTCCATCACAGCGCCCTCAATGACTGACATTATGGGTTCTCTCCGCAAGTGCAAAAGGGTGAACTGCCACCACGCTGATAACGGTGTGACTGACATCGGTAAACACCTATGTGAGTGTACACTGCACAGTTATTTGGCAGTGAAACAGTCTGTACTTCGAGTAGAATCGAATCTATCGCATCCTTGACTGATCTATTAAGTTGATGTGTTCATTTTGGTATATTGGTGTTGATAGACATCTCTTGTTTACATAATAGTGAGTACCTTGATCAAAGCCACAGTAAGGTTGGCTGGAGATTTCCATGAGATATTCGATCTAGTGTGTATGTCAGCGAAAGTGTTCATCAGTACACATTCCCGCTATCCACCACGCGAATATCAGGCGGACAAAATGCCTCTACGAAGCTTTGAGTCGCTATACGTGGACGCTGACGAGTTATTCATGGAAGATGCGGTTGCCATGTTCCCCGCAGGACTCTTTAGGTATGCATAGATCGAACTATACTCACGAGTCATCCAACACCTGAGCATCGAGCGCTCAAGATGCTACAACAGCACGTCCCTCAATCGTGAGCAAGAACACTATAGCATATATGTAACGGATATAGCCAAGATTCAGCGCATCTTCCAAGGTATGTTCACTGCGCATGACTGATTCAGTGTTCCAAATCAGATATTAAAGTATCTAAATTGCAATCACGAGTCCTGCTAAGGATTATTGACGTGTGTATGCTTCACTAAGGTTGACTCATTTTCTTTGCCTTCCATACCTCGTGCGCACGTTAACCTGTATATACTTATAGAACATATGCGTCATGCAGCCCTCGCCATACTTGGCAATCATGATGCAGAACTCAATACTTAAGTCCATCATACACATAGCGCAGAAGTTATGGTGACTGGTTACTTGCGCAAGGATGGACGGTCACTTATCTCAGCCATAAGCGATACCAACTGCCAAATGCTTCAATAGAAATGACTGGTGTCCATGCCTTCATTGGTAGACATTCTATTGGATGCAACAGGAAGCACAGATATGTGTCTAACAGCGGGAGGGTCATATCATTTCTTTGTCCCATCAAGCCGTGCGTGAAGACGTGCCGTGTCCCAACACAGTGGCGTGTTTACTCGCCAATAGCAGTGATCTCAGTACACCTGACTCCTGAATGATAATAGGAGCGTTCAGATAGCAACTTGGCTCCAGCTTTGACGATGACATCTACTCTCCGTGCAGATACTGACGACAGCATCTATGCTCACGGGAAAGCCGCTGCCGCACTTGCGGCTGCAACCGACACCGAGACTCAGCAGCTTCTCCTGCTCCCAGAGCGCACCTAGCTTTCTCTTCCCAACGATTTGATTGTTGTTGACTCACGAGAAGGTAGTCAACAAGTCCGTTGAGCGGTGAAGGACTGTCGCAGGAGACCAGAGGACCAGGCGCTTCGCACTCTTAGTCGACACAAGCAGTGCTACCTCAAACCACGCGAGCTCCCCGCATGTGCGATGATAATCCGGGGTCGAGACTCAGACACCGATGAACCCACCGTAGAAAGCACTTGTGTGGCGTGGGAACAAGCCAGTGTGACCTTCAACATCAGATGCCTCGTCCATGGGGATAAACCTTGCGGGGTCTGTACCACGACGCACCTAAAACTCATCTAAATCTCGTCCTTACCGTTCACAAGTCGACTTTCCTTCGTCCCGAGACTCTCTGGAATGTTTCTAGTTCTGGAGTGCAGATGTGGTCGGGCAAAACAGGCAGTCGCGGGGTGAAAGCGCTATTCCCGAAAGAACCTCGGGAAGGTATGTCGACGCGCCACGTGAACGTCTGGAGAAGGGAAACAGTGACCTTGGCCGCACCCGACTCCTTTTCAGACGCATTTCTGTTTGTCACATTTCACATCTCGATGTTGCTTTTTCCCCGTTTTGCTGTCGCTTCGCGATGCGGTTCGCGGGAACAAGACCAGTTTGATGAACTGGCGATGGCTCTCCACCACTCACGAGCCCCAGAAGCCGTTTACCAGCAAAACTACTGAAACCGCCCAACGACCAGCGAGTCTAACCGCCACTACCTCTACCACGAGGCTACAAGTGTCTAGACTCCCATCATGCGGCACGTCCACGTTTTCTGGGGTCAATTTCGAACTGCTCAACTAGGCGAATTACCCGCGAACCGCTCGAACCTTGCACCTTCGTCCCTACAAGTGCTGCAACATCGCGAGGCTTTTGTCCCTAATCTGATCATCGCGCCCAATGGCATGTGTATACAGCGAGCCAGTAGGTCATGCAATCTCCAACGAGGATCCCCCTCTGCTAAGTGCAGCCGACCTAGATGCATCTTCGACGGTGAGCAAGGGGTATGGAAGCATGCGCATCTTCGTCGCGACGAAGATGCGCATGGCTATAAGTATATCACAGAATCCCGGTTTTGATATCTGTTCGTACGACAATACATCTTGATCACACATACGATACCATGTCTTTCAAGTCTCTCCTCCTATCTCTCCCGATCCTGTGGCGTGGTGCCACTGCACTACCAGCCGGACCTGGCTTTTGGGCTAATGGCTCATCCTATGTCTATTCCTCAGACGATATTCATGCCTCGGCTGCATACAACTTGATCGACACGTACGATGCCAGTAACTGGGTGAACAAGTTCGACGTCCAGGATATCGGTGATCCTACACGTATGTGCACTGGCAAAACGTTATGTCACTTATGTCTAACAAACATTTAGATGGCTTTGTAGACTACGTCAACGGGCAACAAGCTCAACAGCTTGGTTTGCTCAAGACGCAAAACGGTCAAGTTTACATGGGTGTAGACTCTACGACGCACCTTGACCCCAACGGTCCTGGTCGAAAGAGTGTACGCGTGCAGAGCAAGACCGCCTACAACCGCGCGCTTGTGATTGCAGACTTTGCACACGTGCCCGGTAGTGCATGTGGCTCGTGGCCCGCCTTGTAAGTTCCTCACCTGCCTGTAATATCGGCTTCATGCTGTGCAAGACTAACGGTGTACTTGCAGTTGGATGGTCGGTCCCAACTGGCCTAATCAAGGCGAGATCGACATCTACGAAGGTGTTCACAAGGCCCCCACCAACCAAGTCACCCTTCATACATCTCCTGGCTGCAACCCAGGGATCGGCTCAGGGGGTGAAACAGGAAGCCGCGGAGGCGGGGACTGCGGTGCCGGCGGCGGCTTCAACGGCTGCGGCATCTCTGCCAACAACCCCGTCACATACGGTTCACAGTTCAATGCCAACGGCGGTGGTGTATACGCCACACTATGGACAGACGGTGGAATCAAGGTGTGGTACTTTGCCACCCGCGACATCCCCGCAAACATCCGGAGCGGAAACCCCGATCCCGGAACGTGGGGTACCCCGATCGCGAACTTCGGTGGAGGATGTGATTACAATGCCAAGTTCAGAGACTTGAACATCGTGTTCGACATTACCTTCTGTGGAGACTGGGCGGGTGGCGTTTGGGGCTCGAACTCATGCTCCCAGCTTAACCCCAGTTGTAATGCTTATGTGGCGAACCAGCCCCAGGCTTTTGGTGATGTAAGTCTTCCTCGTCTGGCGTTGTTGGGAAAAAATATACTAACAGTGACTAGACGTACTGGCTCATCAACTCCGTGAAGGTCTACAGCGTCTAGACACTCACGAATCCGCCTTTTTTTCTCATACTCCAGCTTTGCCTAGATGGCAACCCCATTCGTTCAATGTAAATACCCTTTCTTTTCACTCTTCTTGCTTTGAAGGATCACGCATTTTGGACAATCGCTCTATACCACTTTCGTCTTTACCCAACTCTTCGACTTGTATATACCTACCTTCTATCGGATATCCCATAGTTTTTACTGCGCATCAATAGCTTGCTTCAACGCTTCAACTTCCCCTTTCTGCCACTCGGTGACCTTGCCCTGCCACTTTTCTCCCTTGCCGCCTCCTTTCGCCGCGCTCACAACCTCCTTCACCTTCGCCGCCATCTTCTCAACCAAGTCAGGTTTGCCAAACACGACGATGGATCCAGAGCTCTTGACCTCGCCCGAAGACAAGACAATGACAGCCTCTCGCTCTTTGACAATTTCCTTAACTTCGAAGAGCACAAGGTTGATGAAGTCAAGACCATCTGTTGCGCGATGCATAAAGGCCGTATCGTGGCTTTGTAGGTAGTTCTTTATGCGATCACCCTCGAATGCTGCTATCTCAGCTAGTAATTTCTTCTCCTTCTTCTGCCCTTCAGAAATTTGGTCGCTCATTCTCTGTACTTTTGCCGCAACATCCGCAGGCGCCGACCCGGATGACAAAGACACAGCGATGGAGCGAAGACCGTTGATAGACTCCGTAGCCATCTTGATCGCGCGATCTCCAGCCGTGAAGAAGAGCCGGCAATTGGTGCCTCGTACCGACTGCATGTGGTGCAGCATTATGACATTGATGTGCGACGAGTTCTGCAAATGTGTCCCACAGCAAGCG